GTCCTTCACTAGCATATCCCACTCTACAACCCTTGGCACAACCACAAGTCCTTCTCCTCCCTTTTATTTCTTGGAGCAGCCGTGTGTTAACCAATGTCCTTATTACACTTCCAGAGGAAACTCTGGGCTTTTGGGCTTTCATCTGTTTTGAAATTAAATAATTTGAGAGGGTTTTTAGACCAGAGATGGTTATTTGAATTATATCATGATCCTTTATGAGATGCAAGAGGAAACACAGTGACAAAGGATGAGGAAAAGCCTAAGGTACTTCTTTGCCTCAGTCTTTAATAGTAAGACCAGTTGTTGGGGTATCCAGCCCCATAAGCTGGAAGACAGGGAGCAGAATGAAGCCCCCATAATCCAAAGGGAAATATGGTTAGTGACCCGCTACATCACTTAGAACACACACAAGTCTATGGGGCCAGACAGGATCCACCCAAGGGTACTGAGGGAGCTGGTGGAAGTGCTCATGAAGCCACTTTCCATCACTTATCAGCAGTCCTGGCTAACCAGGGAGATCCCAGTGGACTGAAGATTAGCAAATGTGGTGCCCATCTTCAAGAAGGGCTGGAAGGAGGATCTGGGGAATTACAGGCCTGTCAGTCTGACCTTGGTGCCAGAGAAGGTTATGGACCAGATCCTCCAACATGGGGCACGTACAGGACAACCAAGGGATCAGGCCCAGTCAGCATGGGTTTATGAAAGGCAGGTCCTGCTTGACAAACCTGATCTCCTTCTATGAAAAGGTGACCTGCTTAGTGGATGAGGGAAAGGCTGTGGATGTTGTCTACTTAGACTTTAGTAAGGCCTCTGACACATTCTCCCACAGCATTCTCCTGGAGAATCTTGCTGCTCATGGCTTAAACTCTTCACTGGATGAAAACCTGGCTGGATAGCCTGGCCCAAAGAGTGGAGGTGAATAGATTTAAATCCAGTTGGCGGCTGGTCATAACTAGCGTTCTTCAGGGCTCAGTATTGGGGCCACTTCCATTTAATCTCTTTATCAGTGATTTGGACAAGGGAATTGAGTGCACCCTCAGTAAGTTTGCAGGCAACACCAAGTTGGGTGGGAGTGTTGATCTGCTCAAGGGTAGGGAGACTCTACAGAGGAATCTGAACAGGCTGGATCAATGGGCCGAGGTCAACTGTATGAGGTTCAACAAGGCTGAGTGCTGGGTCCAGCACCTGAGTCAGAACAACGCCGTGCAATGCTACAGGCTTGGGGAAGAGTGGCTGGAGAGTTGCTTGGCAGAAAAGGACCTGGGGGTGTTTGTTTGACAGACAGCTGAATATAAACCAGCAGTGTGCCCAGGTGGCCAAGAAGACCAACAGCATCCTGGCTTGTATCAGAAATAGTGTGGCCAGCAGGACCAGGGAAGTGATCATCCCCCTGTACTCAACACTGATGAGGCTGAACCTTGAATACCGTGTTTAGTTTTTAGCCCTGCACTACAATAAAGACATTGAGGTGCTGGAGCATGTCCAAAGAAGGGCAACGAAGCTGGTGAAGGGTCTAGAGCACAAGCCTTATGATGAGTAGCTCAGAGAACTGGGGTTGTTTAGTCTGCAGAAAAGGAGGCTGATAAATTTGTACTGATTAGATGATACTTAATTAATAACAATTTAATACAGGTCAGTCTTGAATACTGAAGATATTTTTTGGTTACTTTTGCATCAGTAGTACATGCAGATATATTGATATTAAAGTCACTTGATTATATTTCAAATATGTTCTTTAAAGACATTGTATGGTGAACATCTTTGCAAAACAGATGTTTTAATTAACACTTCAGGAGGAATCACAAATATTTCCAGGTTGAATCATCAGCAAAGATGTAAAACAGAACCAGCCAGTTTACTAGTTCTTGCATTTCATCAATGGCAAAGCTGTATGAAAGGTAAATTCATCTGGAAGAAGAATATATGCATCTTCTTCTATACTTTACATAAATACCATATAGGAATTTATTAAATACTAGAAAGAAACTTGGATAGAGCAAATGAGACATTTTTAAGGACCTACAGACACTCTCAATGAATGTTATGATTCTGTATCATAATCAATAATCACTGTCTGGACATACAGAAAGAAATAACAAGTATTCTGATTTTCAGTCTAGAAACCTGGGCAGCATTTAAAAATTATTTTCCATTAAATGCAAATTTGATATACAGCACTGCCAGAATAAAGGTATGCACAATATTTACAGAATTCCAGGAGCAAGCCCTTGCAATATTTGGTCAGAAACGTGAGAAGTTAAGAATTCTAAAAGAAAAGTAATACATTACAAGAACAGTTTGGTGGCTTGCTTTTGTTACTTATATTAGTTTCAAGACTGTATTGGTTTCTGTGGTGTGCTGTTTGCTATTGTGATGCTGTGAGGCTGAGACAGGAAGAGAAAAAATTGTCGTTCACTTGCTAATTCTCCTCAAATGAAAACCAGCTACCTGCAACAAACACTCAAGTATCAGATATACTAAAGTAGAGTCTGAATTGCTCTCACATATAACTTAAAACATAACCGGCTGGCTTTTGTTTTCTTCAAGAGTTTCAGAATCTACAATCTGTTTAATTGATCATTAGATAGCTGGTTCCTCCTAGGACAAAGAAAGGCAACTTCTCGAAAGAGGGAGTTCATAGAAATCCCAAGGAGCAGAAGCAAAGGACTACCTGGCAAGAAAAACTGGCAATGATTCAGAAGTGGCAGGGAACAGGGAGGTGGCTGAGGCCCTCTGGAGAAGACTGATGGAGCAGCATCTATACACATAGGAAGAATTTTGAGAGAAAACTGGGAGAAACAGGCCACCATCTCGATCTGTAATACAGAAGATGGCCAATATGTTTGGCCCTGGGAGCTTCAGGCAAACACAGGCAAGAGACACTTGTACTCAGCCTGTGCTGGGTAAACTGCTACAGGCAATTCCATTAATTAAAGCTCAAGAAACAGTCCAGAAACACACCACCATGTGAGTGTCTTCTGCCACAGGAACAGTATGGAGGCTTTTTGCCTCCACAGGGGAACATGTCACAACATGTGCAACACTGTTCATGTGCTTAAACTGTGCAGCAAAGTATACAACCAAGTCAAACTGACTTTGTACCCCAGATGCCCTTCCTGTAACCACACCCCTAAGGGGAACAGGGGATGCCATACATCCTCCTTTAGGTATGTGGATTTGGAGCATTTTTGGTTTTCTACTTATTTTTTTCAATACTGAATTTCTTCATATGCTTTTGTGAATGCAAAACCTTCTCAACAGATTTACTCAGTATCTGCAAATTTAAGTAGCTAAACTGAAACAGCACTGGAGAAATCTGCAGTCTCTAGATAAGCCCTGCTGGTACAAGGCTTCCTTGAAAGGAAATGCCAATAATTTAGCAAGACATCTCTGTAAAATGGGTTAAATAAATTATGTATTTGGCGTGTGCACAATAACAATAGGAAAATACTTCTCATAAAACTAGCTCAACTTTGGAAATGTTTAGGCAGTCAAAGCAAACTTGCGAAACAAGTCACAAATGAAGCCCTTACCTTGGTTTAAAACATCTCCTGATTCTGGCTTAGTTGAACAAACTACACTCTGCTCTTACTCACACACCTGTGTTTGAAGTGAAGTATGAGAACAAAATGTTCGCAAAAATGACCTGTTTAAGTTTTTGGTGCAGGTTCTCTCTCAGTCCCATTTGAATCTTAGAAAATTTTACAAGCTTAGTAAGAAGTATTTTCAGCAGTAAGTAAAATTTATGACCCTTGTGGTTCTTAATATTTATCTTTCCCACAACAAATTCTTTCTTCCTCAGAGCACACTGTCACCTATTTCTCATGTCCTAAGTATTTTGCCTACAACCAAATTAGAACACTGTATTCTTTAAAGTGTATTGTGGTGTTCTTCTGTTCAGGAAAAAAAGTAATGCCAGGAGGGTGGGGAAAGAGTTACACTACACTTGAAAATTTAATGCACAAGGTTGCCTTTGTGTTAAAAATTTCTACAAACTCAGTCACACACAACTAAGTCTAAGTTTCTCTCCTATTTTCTTAAGTTCTGGCTATCAGCTTTAACCACACTGCTCTAGTACCTGAGGAAAACTTTCCTTATGGTTTTAGTAAACTGCTCCCTTGCCAGTTATCGCTCAAAGTACAGAGTAGTAAGGGAAACTGCTACAGAAGCTATTTTCTTCATCCATTCTTTGCAATGTACAAAAACTTTTAATAGTGAATTCTCCTGGAGCAATTAAATTCTTAAGTCACATCCTTTTCCTTTCGAAATCATATCAAGATTAATTTGGTGAATACTTGATTTACAACTTAATTTATATTTCTCATTTCAGCATTATTCCTGCTGCAGAGATTTCCTCTATGTGTTCCCCACAACAAAACAATGCTTTCCTAGAAGAGCCATCCTACTGCCTAGAGTTTTCTGGGTATGAGCCAACTAAGTATTTACAGTTATGAAATACAAGTTCATAATGCAGTGAAACAAGATAATCTAGGGTGTCTGGAAGACAAGACACTTCCAGTTCCTTAAGAGAAAAAGTAAAATTGTGTTCTATCAATTCCTTTCAATTTCTCATTAGAATTTTTAAAGAAACTGAGTAGAATAATCCTCAGAAAACTTGCAATATCACATAAATATTCTTTAAAAGAGCATTTTTTCATTGTTTCATGCTTGTGCCTCAGATATTAAGTTATATATTTTCTATAAACATCTCTTTATAGATGTGCAAGCACAACTAAGGCTATTTATATAAAAATATAAATTTGCAAGCATCGTTGGAAAATATCAAATCTAAATCAGATCAGATCTATTTTACACTATGTTACTGTTTAATCTCCACATATTCTGAAGTTTCCAAGAAGCTCTGAATCTAATAGTCAGAAGTCTTTCAGAAAGCATTTCTGAAAGCATTTTTCTTTTATTATAAAACTCCTATTGAAAATTTAAAATTTTGAGAAAACATTTGAAAACTAGACAAACATACATGTCATGCAATTATGTACCTTACTAAGTTTTTCCATGTCTTGATAGTATCCTGCTGCCTTTTTCTGCTCCTTGGTCACTTCTGAAACAAGCCTCATGATAGTTTCTCTACTAGCCTTAGACTCCATTTCATGGACATTGATAGCTTCTTGAAGAGTAGCAACCTGGTCTTTAAGTGTCAGATTTTCTTTACATATTTCAGAGACCTAGAGAAATAATTAAAATATTAGTAACTTTTTAAAAGCACTTAATAATGATATATAGTCATCCCAGTATGCCTGGTCTTAATCATCCCAATAAAGACATGGTGTTTCTGGTGACTTCTAGGTCAGATTTATAATTGCATGCTACTATTCCTTTCTAAAAAGAGTAGAAAGGAAATTAAAATGAGAACCATATTCCCACCAGAAACCCACACCTTAGTGTAATGTAGTTCAGATTTACTCCCACACAGTCTCTATGATCTATTAAACAGGTGGAGAGTTACTGTCGCTGCCTATCTGTGCTTGACATGAAGCAGATCAGAAAATGAAAACAGATCATGTAGCTAACTTCATGTGAAAACCAGACATTTTCAGTATGACTTGTTAAGATTTATGCCTCTCGTTGGAATAGGAAACTGAAAGCTGCATTTTAAGCCTGAAACTTTTTAGGCATGGGGAGATTTGAGTTACTAACAGCTATTACATAAGTATATTCAAGGGCAGCTGACACCTTGGGAAAAGGAGTCATTTCCAGGATTCTAGGGCTGGTTTGGTACGTTATGCTATTTCCAAGAAGTAGAATAGATAAATATGGGCACTTCAAAGAGTGCGTAAGGTAAAAAATATACCCCGACTCCTACTGGCAAGATGTTTGTTAAGACTAAGGCAGATCAATTCTGTCTTAAATAAAACCACAATGTGGAAAAGAAGCTGAGTAGATGTGCCATGACCCCAAACAGAAAAATGAGTTGCTAAATTTTCCTAATGCACAAAGTTTTCAGCACAAATTATATTTCCCAACCAGATTTGTTACTACATTGTTAAAACAGGACGTCAACATGTACTTTTTTTAAACTCCAGTTATTTCCTTAGCATAAAGCATGTAAGAGTTACAGCTTAATACAAACATTTTTGCCTCTAATGATAACTAGCTAAGTTTTGTTAGAGTATCTATTAAAATTTCTATGTGTTTGTATTATTATGAGGGCAAGTACTTTAAGAAATCAATGTGATACATACCTAGATAATCTTAATTTATTAAGTATTCCTTATAGCCAGAACTCTTGTAATAATATGAATATAATGAAACAGAATCTCCCAAAATACCTAGCAGGCTCTCAAGTGAAGAAAAATAGGGATAGCAAAGACTAGACAGAACATGAGAAAAAATATATAAAATTAGGAAAAATTGTCCTTCAGCAGCATAAAGGTTAAGAGAGTAAACAAACAATTTTTCTTTCCTAAATGGATGGTTAGTTTTTGGAGCTTCAGAAGTATTCTGAAGAGAAATAATAAACTTTTATGATTAAGTCTCAAAAACACCACACAGTTATTTACAGCATCTTGTTACAGGGCATAGTTAACGTTGGTTTAGGGCATGCCATTTCAGATGTTTCTATTTAATGATATGTTGGCTCAAGATAAGTGTTAAGTTCTAGTGGTACAGTTTACACGTCACCTAGTGACTCCCAGTGTTAATGTTTTCAGGAAAGCTTTCAACCAAGTATCTAATCAGGGCTGTACTTGGGAACTACAGGATGATAAAACATTTAATGCAGATAAGAGCAGACTGCATTCACTGAGGTCTATTAGTGTTCAGCACCTTTGAAAATCAGCCCAATATGAAAAAAAAAAAAATCTGTCTTAAATCATAGCACTGCCTGCAAATCATTATTTAACATAACAATTCTTGTCTTCATCGCTTGCTCTATTTCTTTGACAACCAAATATTCTTCTATTAAATTTCTGTACAGAAACCCTTGACTACACATAATCACCTTTGACATTAAATGTTCCTGTGGTTTCTCTTTTTCTCTGATGTCTGTGTTCAAGAATCCAGAAAGCTGTGTAAGGAGCTCTTCATACTTTCTGCTGATTTTAGAAGCTTGAGTCATGCTTTCTTCGCACTTACTCAAATATTTACTAATCAGACAGAAAAAAAAAACAACCCAGGCACATCAGGATGAATGTTCTCTGAAACAGAATTCTAAGCAAAAGACATTATCGCAAGATAATTGCTAGCTTCTGCATACCACAAAATTAATTTTTAAAGTTACATATAACTCTCTCTGTCTGTTATTTAATACATATAACCTTTGTCATTGCCTTATGTGTAAACATTTCTTCATCTTTGCTTTTGACTAGCTCTTCAAAGAACATTCTACAATCCCAACCTCATTCTCAGCACAAGATTTCAATGAAACACAAGAACCAGGTGATATCAATAAACAGCGCCCTCAAGATACTGAGAGTGGACGCTGCAAGCAAAAGCTTAGAAAAAGTAAGGGGGAAGAGAGTGATCCAATTATAGTAAAAATATGCTAAAAGCACTTCACATCCCCCCTCTAATGAAGCTGACGGTGCTGATCACAAGCTCCATGAAAAGAGAAGCCCCTCTGGACTAATGGAAATGAAGGACATCTGGAGTACCTGCGAAGGGAAGTTTACCAGCAGAAGCAGACAGAGATGGGAGACACTACTTTGCTGTACATCCAGTCTTTCAGAGAAACACCACCCATGAAAGGGATTGATTAAAAGAGAAAACATCAAGGGACTACTACAAAAGTTGGAAGAAAAGGCAGCTTTTTGTCATCAATTTCATCACTCTCAAAAGGTGCCTATCATGTGGATACATATCCCACATGAAACATCTGTTAGCAACATTGACAGCAGGTATTGGTTTGTAAATGCTGTATAAGAACAAACAACCAAATAACAGAGTGGACAGTTTAACTCATTGCCATAAATATGGTTATATCCCTTCCATTGCCAGGCACAAAGACAAGTCCAGCAAACGAGCATTGCCACAGTCTGCATAGGTAGTAAATGTGTAAATTCATATCTTGTTCATGATGCTGCAACACTGAACATCACTTCTGAAAAATTACAAAGAAACAGATTAACAAATAGCCAACCAAACAAAGTTCAAAATTACTGTTAGTGCAATCCAAATATCAACTCCAGTACCTCTCAGATAACACCCATAAGAGAAGTACTCAGTGGTAGAGTGAGAGACAAAACTATTGAGCTTCCAATTGAGAAACAAGGTACTTTCTAAAGCAAGTTCTTCACAACGATTTGAACATTAGAATAAAATGAGACATGAGATATCAACAAACAGCTCTCCAGAGCAAATATTTTATTGAAACTATCAAAGCATAGTACTATTCTCAGTTTTCAAGGTGGGCATGCTAGTCATTTCTGGACTCATTCTTTTTTGTTTTCTGATTTCTTCCTCTCTAGGTTGGCAATCAATCATAGAAAACACAGAGTGAGTGCAAACACAGTACATTAAATGGTTTTAAATCACTAAGCAAAAGAGATGGTCCATGAAAAAATTTAAGATGTTGCCTCAGGAGGGAGATCAGCACACTTGTCAATGCTGCAAAGTAGAAGAGAGTGGAAGGATAACAGAAAGTAATAGAAAACATTAATTACTGCTTGGGACAGGACAAGGATATTTCCACGTACTGCTGCACAGCACACACTGTGAGCCAAAGGAGCTCTGCCTTCTACAGCAGGCACAGTGCCTCACAGCTTCCTCACCTCCCAGCACCCTCCTCTCCTCTATAGCCCCAGCAAAACTAAGCTGTGAGATGGTCGCTAAACTGCTGTGTGAGGAGGAGTATGTCAGAAGTGAAAAGGTATGAGGCTCCAGATGTGCCATACATACATGCCTATATGTTAGAATATTGTAGGAGATTGACAACCAATCCCATGAACTGTTCTGTGGCTCTGAAAAATCAAGGCACATCACACACAGAACCATACCTGCTTCTAAAAATAAACAATCTGAAGTACAAAGCACATACTTGACAAGTCTACGATAATTACCTCCAGTAGGGCCATAAAGGTGCTAGCACCTAGAAAATAGGCAATTGGGCACAAAAAAGTAGAACGCAGCTCTTTCACAGTTTTGCCAGCTCTCCAGAACTAATGAGCAAAAAGAAGGGGAGGAAAAGGGAAAAAAAAAGCTTTTCACAGTTCAGGCTCTAAAAATACCTTGGCAATAGAACCTATTGAGTAGAAAAGTACCATTTTCAGTAGGAGAGGTGTACAACTTGGAAACTAATCACAGAATTTATTAAACATTTTTTACTATATTCCTAGGTATAGAATGTAACTGTGCATTTCACGCCTTCTGGCTTGCTCTTCCCTTTTATTTGTGGTTTTCAGTGAAAATCTTTCTTGAATACCTGATTAGGATAGGTCATGTGCCACATGATACTAAGGTGGCCAGACTAAGTGACTAAAGCTCATTAAGTCAATATGTTGATTAGTATTAAGTGGCACATGTAACCATTAGCTGAGGATGAGAAAAAGCTTTGAAAACATACACTGTAGATTCATGACCAATCAAAAATGTTTATTCCAAAAGAGCAGGCTCACCCTCCCTTTGGCCATTCCCTTTTGCCAGCACTCTAGTGGTACACTCGGTGCACAGCAAACTGGACCTGGGATTGGTAGAGCTAGAAATTAAGCTTTTTATTTTGCTCATTTCTCTCTCACAGCACTTCCCTTGTCCCAACACAGACAGAAGTGCCAACACAAGTGTCATTGGCAAAACAAAGCAGCCAGGACCCCACTGGGAGTGACAGCACAGATTTATGCCACATAAAATTGATCATATCACTGTAATGATTAGGCTAGTATGATACAGTATTTTGGTAGTTTTCTCCCAGTGAGTTAGGCAACAGGCTAGGAGGCTTTTCTTCCTTTAATTTTCTCACAGAAGAAGCATTTTAAAGAATCTTAACAACCATTATGTCACAGACTGTGATGTTTTCTATGTTACTAGGATGCATAATACATTTCTTGTCTTATCTCCTCACTTACACTGGGATCATATCTAAAATCTTTGGTGATCAACATCAGCACTCTCCAGGCAGGGCTTTTGGCAAATCAGCTGGTAACAGACAAGAGCACCGCAATAGATTTCTCCAGACCTTAAAATAATTTAATTATCCACTTCTAATGCACAAAGCCTGGAAGAGCTGTGTGAAATACCAATTTGGGAAACACAGACATCTGGTAAACACTCACCTTGCTCTTAACTAGACAGTATTGAAAGAGACATAGATATTAGCCTTCTAATGGTGGGAAAAAATCCATTATAAAAGTCTACAAGGTGTCTAGCACTAGGTGTCTAGTAATGACTGACACTGACTTTGGAATTTTAGAGCTCAGAGTATTTTCACATGAATCAATTTTATTTGTGATCAACATTGGTATCAGTCTCGATCTCACAGACCTCAAATATCAGCACTTATGCAGAACTGACAGATCAGTGCTCTGACACACTATACTAAGAAGAGTATAGTTAAAGATATTATCTTTAAAGGAAAGTTTTATTAAATCAGTATGCACATTAAAAAACCAACAACCTCCACCACACCACCACCAACAATCACCCCAAAAAAACCCACGCAGCTAACCAAACCATTAACCAAACATAAACGTGCCCCCTTCAGGATGCTACTAACTAGGAATTACACATATTTTCTTTATTACACTGCTAATGTACAGCTTTACACTAAGGAAGAAATTCACTTGACACTGTTCCAGTTCCAGCTGTGACACAGAAGAGGGGAAAAGGGACTGGAGCAGTGCAGCAACAGTCACTCACCACTGTACAGTCCACATAGCATGTTGAGTGACAGGTAAATGACTGTAAAAGATGCCACGTGATAAGGACAGACCAGGGCATTAGACCATAGTTGCAGATACTGCCCATCACAAGCACGCTGTAAAAGGCACAAAAATTTGCCTCAGTGCCATACATGGAAATATCTGAATGAGGACACCGAAACTATCATTTCTACTGTGTTCAAAGAGCTCTCTGTGCTCATTTTTTGTAAGCAATGAGGTTACTCCAAGCTGATGCAATACAATTGTTTCTCCTCCAAAGGAAAAAACTCTCAGAACCCCATTTATGGGCTAACAACTCAAACCAGAATTCAAATTTCAATACCTTCCAGACACTCAGGTACAACAGTTGTGCAAGGCATTATAACAGAGTTATGATCTGCAATAGTCTCTTCACTGACATACTTTTCTGCATTGGCAACTGCACCCTTATGTCATTCCAAACAAAAATTGTTTCTCAACTCACAAGAATCTTACTTAAGTTTAGTATTTTGCTCATGAAGCTCCTCCTTCAGTTCCCAGTTTTCCTTGAATGCCACCCGAGCTGTCAGCTCAGACTGGTTTTTAGAAGTGGTGAGCACAGACGCCTCTTCCTCCATCTCCTGAATTCGGTTTTGCAAAGACAGGAGGTGAGACATCTGTCTAGCATTGTTTTCCTTGAAGCTTTCAGCTTCAGCCTTCAGCTCTTGAAAAGAGGCTTCCTTAGAGACCATTCTGGACCTGAGTTCAAGAAGCTATAGATAGGGAGAAAATTCATTAAAAAAGGAAGAATAATTTTGCCCAGGCTGAAACTGCTGACTGCACTACAAGTTTAGTAATGTGTCAAGAAACACATTTTCAAACAACTCAGAGTCTTCTATCACTACAAGACTCAGTGGACGGACACAACTTTATTTTCATATGACCATGAAAAAGCAATAGAAGAGGTCTGTAAAAACAAAAGCTGTTCTTGTGCAATACAATACAAATTTTCAAGACAATCTCTTAGAGGAAGATAAATTGATTTGCAAACTCAGAATTTAGGAAAAGTCCACCTTAAATTTTGCTGCGCAACCTTAATTCACCTCCCTTGTGCATCTGCATTACAATACAGTTATTAACATCACTATTCCATTTTTTTTGCCTGCCTCCTCCCTGCTCCCAGTTCTGGTGCACAGTTCCACACATGATCTATAGCTACACTGAGTTGTAACAGCAAAGTATCCAGTTGTATGAGGGTGGATCCTTTTGATGATTTGCAGCATATTCAGAGGCAAAGAAATTTTTGGACAGTTGTGCTGTTAGGCAACCTCTTCTCATCTTATGCAAATAGTTATTTTTTGGTCTGATAATCCAATTAAACATAGCTGGATTTACACAGAAACGGCAAGAGGACCTTTTAAAGGGTGGGAGGAGAAACATCACCACCAAATGTCAAGGACCTGTTCCAGCGATGATGCTAGAGCTTCCCAACACTTCATGGAGTTCAGTTGCTTTTCTCTACTTTCCCGTCTCTTTTTTAGTTAAAAATACCATTTTGCATTGAACTATTTCTGCTACAAGCTTCTGTACAAGACTGAGCTTGAGGCAGACACATCAGGCACATAAAATTTCAGTGGTTTACTTTGTTAAAAGGAACAAGTAATTTAAAGCGGATTTTTTGTCACAAGTGTTAAAGCATGTTTCAGCTTCCCTGACAACTCCGTTTATAAGCAGCAAGGTGCAATCCGAAGCATTTATCTCCTATTACATAAAATTAACAATCAAGTAATTAAGCCACATTAACTGCTCCTTATGATGTGTGCTAGGGCTTTTAATTTGTGGCAAACATTTTAAGGCAATAAATATTTAAGACATTAAGCTTCAATTTGGGACTTAAGGGAATTCACTGCTCTGCCAGAGGCTTCCAGTGTGACCAAACCCAAAATACCTGGAGAAATTCCAGGAGGCCAGTGAGCTGACTGAATGGCAACTGCCTTGGAAAAGAAAGGTCCCACTTCTGCTCCCAGCCACACACGCCTGTCCTCTCCCTTGCACCAGCTCTGGTATTTGACTTTACAAACAACTTAACTAACGCAGCTGACAAAAAAGAATTCACTTTCTACAGAGGAGTAAGAGGGAGGGGAGATGGCCACGTCATAGAGAAAAGGCTAACACTGAGGAGTCAGGTAGAAGGATCATTCTTGCAGCAGCAGCATAGTCTCTGATGATCTTATGCTTCACATGCAAGCACTGGTTTATGGGACACTTTGGAGCTGACATAAAGCAGCACTGATTTTGAGAAAAGCAGCTTTGCCTCTTCACAGGCTCACAGGCTTCATTTCCATAGCCCACCCTCTGTGCTAGCAGAAGCACTTATATGGCTACAAGATGAAATAAGATTGGGAAACTGATCAGGCTAAAAACCAACCCAGAAGGAAAGGCATTATTTTTCAGTTGCATCAGTTCCCCAACAAAACAGTGCACCGTAAAACTACACATACATCTGTGCCAGCACAAGGGATGGGGCAGTGTGGGGAAGGAAATGAGCAGCTGAAGGAACAATAGGATTGCTTTGCTTGGCAGCTGGACCAAGCTATGGTAGCTTAAAGCATTCATAACCTTAAAATTTCTCTGTGGTTCAACTCCCCATCTGCAAAATGTGTTATTTTTTCCTCTGTCCATTGTCTTTGTGGTCAGTTCCAATAGCAGAAAAAGCAAGAATAATCCCATATCATGGGTTTTACAGAGCACTCAGCAGAACAGGGCTCTGACCTCAGCTGGGTCATGAAGGTCTTTATTAACAAGAGCATGAACAGCTGCTTTCTTGACTCTTCTTTTGCTTATGCAAGCACAGTGCTGAAAGAATCTATAAATCAGTCAGTCATGCTGGCAATAAAGCCATTCAACATTTCCAGTAATAAATTCTTTCTATGAGAATGTGAGATTCTGTATGGCTTTTTAAAACTGAAATTTAAAGCACTGATCCTGGATAGCCATTACATGCAGGGGAACTCTGCAGTAATTTCAGGATTAACTGGTCAAATTCAAGCTCAGTCAATGGACACTTACCCCTGTAGTTCTGGCTGGATACTGTATTAACAATTCATTCTCCTGTAATATTACATGTTTATGCTGTCTCTCATATTGAGCAACCCACAATTAAAAAAAATTTATTTCATCGATAGTATTTTTTTATGTTCAAGTGCTATGCAAGTACATCCCAAAGCACTTTACTATGTGCAATAGAAATACACATTTGTAAAATGCATAGATGTTGAAAAAACTAGTTGGATAGATGTTCACAATTTTCCATTGAACTTTATGTATCTATGTATATTTATGAATATATACACCTGAATATATATGTATGAAAATCAGAATAAGCATTTCATGTCTCCTAAAGGCAAATTTGATTCGATTTTAAAACTGACCACTGACCACATTGCTGAATTGGATCAAATCAACCTTAGTTCATCGTATGATGTTTTTTTGGGTTTTTTTTTTAAAAATAGTGTGAAAATACAGAAACTGTAAAAATTATCCTCTAATAAATCCTGTCTCTTGAGAAGTAGCATCTGCACAGCAGAAACAGCAGAAAAGGATGTGTGTGCATTCTTCAGCCTCTAGTTACAATCAACCTCATTCGCTCAAACACAACTTCAGTGGTGATGAAAGCAAAGCAAATCTGGGGAGCTGTAACTTAACGGAGAAATGGATGAGGATGGGCAGTTATATCTTAACTCACCAGCAACAACAGGAGGACATCTATTACAACTTTTATACAACCACAATTTAGAAATATTAACTTTCAGATTTAATTAAAAAAGATTGCATTTAGATGATAATGATGATAAAAAGCTAGACTGCTTTAAATCTTTCAAATATAAACTCATAATTAGTTCTTGAACACAGAAACAAGCAGAGTAAAAATCACATGGAAATTCTAAAAAGGTTATGAGAAAAAAAAATTCTGTACCAAAAGCAAGAAATTTTGGACTTTCTGCAAGCTTTCTATTCTCTGCAGAAAGTGACTGTAGAGAATCCTTAAGTTTGGAGAAAGTTTTGAAAGTATTTTTAAATGTACCTCTGACTGGGCAAAATCATACTTCACTGAAAGTGCTGCAAGTTCACTCTGAGCAGTTTCAGCTGCAGCTCGATAGTGATTCATCAGCTCTCTAGTGACAGGAATATCCAAAAGAACATGATCATGAGATTCCTGGGAAGACAGCATGAAAACAAAACCGTTAGACATCAAATTTCTTGAACATTTTTGCTTCAGTCCTTTTTTTGTTGATTAAGCTACTCAAGGGCATTTCTTCAAAATATGTTACTGCTAGAGTAACTGACACTTACTGAAAAATAGGATAAACACTCACTTTTCTACCAGTCACCACTTTCATCTGCAAGTTCAGTCACCAATACCAGTGCTAAAGTATATGGGCATGTAAAATCTTCCCCTTCAACAATCCCATGGCCTCCCACTATTTTCAGCTCAGGTTATTTCCTGCAGTTTCTATGTATTTAGCAACATTCAGAAGGTCCCTCTTCTACAAACTTACCCAGTCACTCCTTCAACCCATGTAAACTTTAACCCAAAGGGAGTCCTCAGGTGTCTCTTACGCGAAGAGCCAATTTGGTTTCTAGACTTCAGTTACATTGCCCACCCCCTCATTTTCATTTTGGAAGAAATGGCAAAAAAAAAAAAAAAGCAATGGCTATCAATCTTCTCTGTGCCACTTATGATTGATTTTGCAGATTTCTACACAGTCTCTCTACCAGGTTGAAGAGACCCACGCCTATTCAGACACTCCTACCTGCTCCTCAAAGTCACTTTTTGGCTTTTGTATTTGTGCTCTTACTTCTCATCTGCCAAGGCTAAAGGTCCTTTTGCACTCCATCACCTGGACATAATTTCAGCATTCTGAATGATGTTTCTCATCCCTGGCAATCACCATACTGGCTTCCTTTCACCCTTTTTCAAGCCCTTCTGATAGATGGCAAGAACTGGCTCTGCACTTCTAGCACAGTCTCCTTCACCCCACTTGTACAATCCTTTTACCTGTGCCTTTTAGACTCTTTATAGTAAGATTTCTCATTCTTGTGTGGTTCTGCTCTTCTACAGAAGAGCAGAAATGTGGTGGATTTCTTTGCCTTTGTTACTTAAATTTTTCCTATGAAAATTCAGACCTGAGATCTTGATAGGAATTTCATTAGAAAATTTTTTTCTATCGATATTGACTACAAAATGATGAAATCTAACATCTCCAGAACAAGATTTTGTTTAGGTGATGTTGGAAACACACATGGCAGAGGACAGAGCATGAGATTTGTATTCCATCAGCTCCCACACAGGACAAACAAAACTGCCATTCTAGTGCATTTAGGCATACATTACAAAATGCAAATCTCCCCCAGTTAATGACAGGTATTCCAATGGAGACAGAGACAAGATGTCTTCACTTCATGTTCTACTACATCAGCATTCGTTTCCACGCCAAGATAAATTACAAGTTCAGCTCCTACCCATTCTGAATAGAAAACAATTAACAGCATTCTGAATAGGTGAACATCTAGTAAAATAAACCTCACCAAGAAATGCACACAGAAATCCCCGTGAATCAGGCAAAACTACTAGTTTGGACTGTAGTAGAAGATAAATTACCTCAGATTAGTTTCTATAATATTGTCAACTCTTTTCTTTAATCTTTCTTCAATGCACTAGTACACACTGGATTAGATCCATCAAGTTTAATTGCATTCATCTTCCTCAAAGATGCTCAGCTGTGCTCTTTCACAAAGGAGTTGCCACTCTCATCAAGCCAGACTGATACATGTAGTACAGCTCACGGCCATGTACAACATAGCACACAATCTCTGAGATAAAAGGGCTGCTAATTTTCTCAACACTTTATCACCATTCTGAGGGAGTAAGGGAAGGTATGTGCTGTCTCTTTGCTACTTTGTCTTCCTTTTTGTTCTACTCCACTTTTTTCACATTGTACAACCACATTAAATTCTTTGATGTGGAGAGGGTTTTTTTCAGGCCTCCAAAACCATGGCTGCAGCTTGCAAAGAGTAACACTGTGCATGTTATTTATGTATGTTATTATATTTATTTTACTATATTGATGTATGTTTTCTTTTTCTTCCCTAAACACAACCACTTCTGACTACAGAAAGAAGGAATACATCTCAAAAACTGATGAAATAAAAAAATTTCAGAGCATACCTGAGTAAGGAAGACCCCTGCTCAGCAGCAATAATCAACATGTGAAAACCCTTTGCAGATGGAAATTCTGAAACCTGCATGTCATACAAATCTAGATTTTAAAGTGACGAGCACTTTAAAGATGCAGATACACATCCAGAGGCTTTAAAGAGGTTTAAATGAAGCCAGGTGCAAAAGTCAATGGGAATTACCATTTCATTCAATTACAGTCTTAGTGAGATTTACAAAAGCAGATTTCTGCATCCTCCAGTGCCTCAGTATCTACAAAGCTAATCATACATGGTGACACCATGCTAGGAAAGTTGGTATGATATGAAAGTTGGCAGGGAATGTACATGCCTTAATATTTAAGTAAACGGTTTTCTATGTTTTGTTAAGCAGCCATTCACAAGACTGATCATTAATCACACCTGTAGCAATGCAATTAATTGGGCATGACTCTACTATAGGAGTAAAATCTGTAATGCAGATGTGGCACTTTTGTACCTCTGGAAAAATTCAGATTTGTAATGTCTCATGAGTACTATGTAGATTATACTGATTACTGTTAAGAGAATAGAATGAATTAAGTGTTAAAAGAATAAGAGGAGTAGACAGGAGAAGCCTTAATATATTATCACTCAATCAGCAATAAATAGTCTAGCTGTTGAGTGTTTCTCCTATTTACATTATTATCTTCTTTGATCCCTTTGCACTTACCTACAAGACAATGAAGGTTTCATTTCACTTCAAATACTAAACAGAAGCTAAACCTATAATACGTAAGAGTAATATCTACTTGTACCTTTGGATTTATTCGCAATAGGCATTCTTTAGAAGATCAACAACATAAGGTCGTTGTTGTTATTGTGGGGTCTTTTGTTTTCATTTTTTACCAGATAACCATTTTCACCTCCCTGGAATCCGGCCTGCAGTTGGCAAACTTCATCAGATTCAGGAAAAACAGAACTTCAACAAAATTCACTAGTTTTATACCTCACTGTATACTTTGAAATTGGCCAACTGTTCAAGTCATTCACTCCTGTTCTGCTTTTGTCAGCTTTTATTTCCTGCTACATTTCTTATTTCAAATCTGGCAAATGCTGCCATCACTGACATGGCCCCCTCTTTCCCAAAACATTTTTTTTTTCCATCTCTATTGAAACAGAAAGCCCTCAGTAAGCATTTAAGCACTGATCACGACTTGAGTGACTTGCTAATGCATTGCCTCTTGCCCATAGCAGAATGCCACAACTCAGGGCAGGGATTTCTCCTTCCTGTTTCCAAAGCACCTAAGCATGTTGGCGTTGGCATACCAAGAATAATGACTCACAAACCTTTGTCGACTCCATTCTTCCTTTGGTTCTACAGAACAAATGGGGGGAAGAGGAGAAGAAAGGTTGAAAATTAAATAGATTTGCAATATGATGACACATGACATTAATTTTTCACAGACCTGCTTTACCATGTCATAGGTTACCATCAGCAAAGTAGGACATAGAAGCAGAACACTGTAAGTTTCTCTAGTAGCCTATAAGCTTTGACAGCCTCCATAATATTCAAACCCGCATCTAACTAAAACAGACATCTTAACTTTGACTTCTCTGGGTTACATTCACTAGTTCAGCTAAACAGTCAGGCTTTGTACAGTGATCGCTTCCTGTTGACACTGCTTTTGATGTGCTCCAACTTTTTATTTTACCTCTCTTTTTATCCTGCATCTCTTCTACAATGATAAATTTAAAAAAAAAAACCAAAAACAAAAACAAACCTGAGCAAAAAATCATGTGATCTGTCTTAACTAAACTACATCTTTTTTTCTCCTCAGATGTTAAGGTAACTAGTGGGCCCTTTTTACATATAAGTTTATACAGAACTTAGTACAGTGAGCTATTCAATAACTTGTATAAATACCAGTGCCATAAGAGTTTATATTCTGAAAATAAACAAAATGAGATATTCTTAATATGTAATATTTCTTCCTAAGACAAATTAATATTCATTATGTACGTGCATAAACATTGCTCTAATTTCTGAAAATACAATGCAGCAGCACAGTTTATTATTATTTGATGCAGTCAGAATAAAGATGACATCCAACATGAAATACTGGGAAGAATGTGCAGTTGAAGAATTTCCACACAGAATTTATCTCCCTGAGAATTCAAAAGGAAATGTTAGTCCCCAAACTTGCTGTTGGATCTGTGGGAGGCTAAGGTGCTCTTCAGGACAATGAGGAGCAAGAGGAATTCATTGTGTATGGGCTGAACTAAATCGAAAAAGAAGCTTGAGCATTGTTTTGATTGTAACTATTCTAACTACAGCTAGAAACTTAAAAGTTTGTTGCCTTCACAACCTCACTAGCTTAATTTTTCAATTAAACAATCAAAACATGTTCTAACAAGGCCATTTTCAAAACTATCTTGTATAAATTGATTTTAAAAGAAAATTCTACCTCAGTATGCAGGGAATACCAATTTTATTTTGCAAAATAATCTATCCTAGTATAAAGGAAGAAAAGTTTTAGAATATGTTTCTTTTCATAAAATCTACAGGATAATAAGCAAATTTTATATAAGTTACATGAAAATCAGGCACTGGACAGTTTTTAGAAATTCATTTCTGAATCAAATGGAGGAAAGGTAGGTAGCACTTGCCTATTGCATATTTTACTTGGTAGCGGTAGCTAGCCAGCCAGCCAGCACACACATTGCTTCAGAATAGCCACAGCAGCTACGCACAGCAATAAGCTTGATAAGGGAGAGCCACTGTTACACAGTGGGTCAGGTTTTGTTAACACGTGCAAAAACAGACTAAAATGAATCGGAGTCACTTAGGGGGAAAAAAATGGTTCGCAAATTAACCATCTTGCATGTATATTTTGGGTAAAGTTGACTTCTTTCTAGATAATACTTTGCCCAATTTGCCTATCAGAGATTTCAAAATGTTTGTCTTGATAATGCTTTATTAACATAAATCAAGATTTGCAAGTAGCATTTCAAAATCATTTCTGTTCTGTCAGTTTCTCTTTCACATGATAAAATGCCAGAAACACCCAATTACTTCTGATCACTTCCTGCTCAGTGAAGTCTTCCTTTCCCTCTCTGATTTCTGCCCATAACTAGGCCCAGCTCTTTGCTTGAAGTTTGTGCAAGCAGTTCTGAAAAGTTCTTTTCTTGTCGTTGTTATATGTCTGTGGAGTTTTTATGAATTATTGTTCCAGAAACATGTAAAACTAAGTGAAGTGTTCTCAACAACTCAAATTACCAAAGAGATTTTCTAAATTCCTTTCAGAAGGGTACTGCTTAGCTCTGCCCTCCTCCCTTTGCAGTAATCATTTAAAGGTATTATTGAAAGATAAAAAACACTCTCTGCTGTTGTTCATCTACTGAAGAAGCCACTTTCAAGTTGATTAATAGGCCTGAATGAAAGTTTCATGACAATCAAAACTTTATTCTTACCCTCTAGTACTACAAGCAGTAGTTAAAGCGTTTTCATCTTTCATTTTCTTCTCTGTCAGGATGAGGTGACCTTGCATCTAAATATAATAAAGGCATTTAATACAATGAAAGACAGAGTCATCTCAAGACAATTACAGAGATACATCACCTATTGTAAATATTACTTAATATGTTGTTTTACTTCATCCTTTGCCTGTATGGCTAAATTAAGGAATTTGGATCTTCCCTACACTTTTTCTCACAGCTTTTCCAAAATTAATAAGAAGGAACTGCTGTGTTTAATCTCAGAAGAATAAAAAGGGAAATTGCCAAGACAAAATTTAGGAGGAAAATGTAACAAAAGTGCTTATGCAGGGATTTTTGCAAAACACTTGTTTTTCTACTGGTTTTACTTTATCAGTGCTGAATAAATAACATTTGTGAGAGAAAAGCTTAAATGAAGAGATTTAAAAAACAGACCATCATGCAATGCCAACACTCTTGCAATTTTCCTACAATGCCTACTATACTATACTACTGTCAATGAAAGGCAGTATTTTAGATATATTTGTGTTGGTATATACGGAGTTAAGACTGATTACTGCTGTAGTCTGATTTATCATTTGCAACCCACATTTTAGAAATACATGGTTTCTAATGTGCTCTTGAGTCAGGAAAGTAACATTCACAAACTATTTGCCTTCAGGTCAGTAGGATGTGAAGCAAATTACTGTCAACTCTGTAACCAAGCAGAGCTAACAAAAAATTCGTAGTAAGGTCAAAACAGTTGTATTTAATATAATGGCAGTTGATTTTGCCATTACAAAGTACCAAAATTCTGTACTTCTTCTCTCAGAACAATACAGCATAATTACAAAATTGATGTTCAACTATTAAGGAGATGCTGAGCTGTCCACACACTTAATAAATTGTTTATCCTTTGGAATATGAAACTGTTAGAAGTTTTCTACTGTATCTTTAGTACAAGAGTTTGATCCTTCTAAGCAATATCCTGGAGTGTCTCCTTTAAATTCACATCAAAGCCAGCAAACCAGTTTCAAAGGCAGAAGAAATTCTTAGATAACTATAAATTCCTACTCTATGATACTCCCTTCTGCAACACTTTAATAAGAAAAACCTTTCATCCTTGAATTTGTAAAGATAAGCTATAATGATCAACTCAAGTTCATTGAGCTACAACTGAAGTGCACGTCTACCGCCGCGTACAGCTCTGCAGCTGCGTAAGTTTTTTTTATAAAACAAGGCAAAATTAAATTTAAAACTGAAAAGATAACTTGCAAGGGGGGAGTTACAGCCAGCCTCAATGTCAGTCACCCTCCACAGAAATAGCTATGGAAGACCGAGGAAGGGAGGGTGGGATTTTTCAAAAATCGGGGCTTTATTCTCTAATAGGGGAACTGTGAAAAAAACCAACTAAACCAACCCCCCTCTACCCTTTCCGTCTTCCCCTCCGCTGCCGCCAGCTTTGCCCTGGGCCGGACAGCGGGTCCGGAGCGCGCCCCGGGGGCTCTCACGGGAGCCCGAGGGCGCTTTGCAGCGGCCCGGCCCAGGCGCCTGCAG